AATGTCCAAAAGACAAAGCAAAATCTTATATCTGATTCGCTCTGCAAGAAATCTAAAAAAGTAAAAACAATGGTTCATTACAATAAGCGAGTCAGCACACCCCACTGAGTTTCAGACAATTCAAAATCGCAAAAGATCATCGATAATTCCTCACACAAATTTGAACAAGGTGTTTCAAACACTTCAAAATAGGTGTTTAGTTTCTTTTTCTTTGGCTCTATTTCATGGATAATTTTTATAATAAAAAAACAAAACACTTACCAATAAAAGCAAGCATCCCCAAATAAGACAGCTTAATTGAGAACTCACTGTAATTCTGAACTAGCGGCAGCACTCGGAACTTGTGATGATGTGTCCTCACTCAAACTCAAATTGCTCGACTCAATTGCTTGGTGTTCAGTAGCATTTGTACTCGAGCTATCCTCGAGATTTATCGACACAGAAGCATTACTAGCTCGAGCAACTTCGGCTATTTCAAGATGATCCATCATTCGGGACACAGTGGCAACACCTTGACCAGCCGAATCTTGACGAATTTCAGTAGTTGGGGGCATTTCGGGCGTTGTGTTATTTCGAGCAAAAAGTCTCTCCTTCCAACCCCTAGTGCTCTTAGTGATTGATTCTTTGTATCTGTTGAAAAAAGAATGAAAAAAATTCAGTAAAGTTATCATCTTTAGCATATAACCACTGTTTTCCTACCCACCGTCTTTTATATATATATATTTTTTTTTTACTTCTTTTTGTTTGTGGACAAATGGGTTCTCCGATTGGTAGTCAATATAAGTGATCAATTAATAAGCAGCACAAATTCTGTTAAAAAAGACTGAAGAAATTCAGTAAAGTTATCATCTTTGTTATATAAACATTGTTTTTCTATCTAATCCATCGTCTTTAAAATTTTTATTTATGTTTTTACTTCTTTTTGTTTGTGGACAAATGAGGTTCTCCAATTGGTAGTCAAAATAAGTGATCAATTAATAAGCAGCACAAATTCTGTTAAAAAAGAATGAAGAAATTCAGTATAGTTATCATCTTTAGTCAAAATAAGTGATCAATTAATAAGCAGCACAAATTTTTTG